TGTGACCAAATTGAGAGCCATCCACAAGCAGGTGTTGATGTTGGACATTTGTTTCATTTATTTTTGGGGGTTTCTGGTTTTTTTCTGGTTTTTTTTTTTGTTTGTTTGTTTTTTGTAATAACGAAAGCGTGAGATATCACCCTGAAATTACAGCCTTCTGATTGTATGGAGTATTCTATTTTCCTGTTATTTATCTTTTTGATTGTTTATAATGTTGCTAGTTTCTTTGTTCATTTTTCTTTTTTCATTTCTTTTTGTTAAACCAAAAAGGGTGAGATGTCGCCCTGAAAACTCAGCTTCTGAGCTTGCTAACATAGTTTTCTAAGGACTTTCCCAGGACAGTAACTGTAAACATAGATATGTGTACATTCTCTCTGTTACACGTCTTGTGAAGGGCATCTCTGATGGCCAGTGCAGGGGGAAAGTGTTATCCTGACCATCCAACCCCTGGCTGTGGTCACAAGCCTATAAATCCTGGGAGGAAAAATAAACTCTGCTCTTCTTTCACCACACCTCAACCTGTTTCCGCGTGATTTATTCATCTTCAGCGGTAACAGTGTTCTGTAAAACAGGTGAGTTGTTACAGCTTCTTGCCCCATTCATCACTGGATAAAACACAAATATTGCATTGCTCCATGCCTACTTTCTTCCAAGTAAAGGCAGATTTTGTTCATTATTCAGTGGGACATATTCATCTGTTGAGAAGCAAATTCTCCTTGCCATTCACACAATGTTGATTTGCTCTAATCGGATTGTAATTAACACCAACCTCTCTGTGTAATTAAGGCTGATGGATTGTGAGGCAAAGTGTTGCAGAATTTGCCCTGGAGAGAGTTTTTTTCTAATTCAATGATACTGGAAGACAGCTGCAGCCTACCATACTTCTGGCATACTAGAAACGAAAAAACAATCTTTCAAACAGGATTTTATGCTTTCTTCCTCCTCTTCCTCCCAGGAATTTTGATCCCTGAAGTCTGAACTCTTCAGCTGCCTCACAAACACTGTTTCAATTCACACAGGCATCCATGAAGTGAGCAACATATCAGGACTGTGGCTGAGAAGCTGAAAGCAATGTAGGTTTAGAGCACCAAAATTAATAATCCATTTCCCAGGTTAAACCAAGCAATTCCCAAATAACTCTACCTATCCTCAGGGATGTTTTAAAACATGTAATAGTAAAAGCTGGGAGCAGGGAGAGAGAATGTCAACAAAATTAAAAATACAGCTATCTGAGATCTTTTTATTCCTATGAAAACAGAGTCAAAATTGTTTATATATGGAAAATTATCTATGAAGTGAACAAGAGATTGTCAAAATAACTGCTTGGGAAACAAAAATACCTAACTACAAAGAAGTTCACATGTAGATTTATAAGAAAACATTCTAAGACAAAAAACAGACCTACCAAATCTAAAACTAGTAACACTGTCTCATATGTCTCAAATAAAAAAAAAAACAATAAAAAACAAACAAACAAACAAACAAAACCAAAAAAAATTTAAAATACTCACATTCTCAAGAGCATTACTATATACAGGACCCTGCAGGTAGTGGGAATAAACAAAGGAACTTTTTCATAGGAAACAAAGGAACTTTTTTCTTCTTCTCAGTCTGTGGGAGCTGTCACTGGGCAGGTCGGGTCAGGGGTGGCAGTGGCTGCTCAGGGATGGGTTTGGCCCATGTCCCTGGAAGGAGCCACTGCCCAAGCAGCTGCACTGACCCCGGGCTCTGCTCTCAGCCTTCTGGGCTCTGTTGGCTGGCACAGCCTGTGCCAAGGGGTGGCAAGGTGCCTGCAGGCCCCAGCTCTGGGGAAACAGAGACCATCCTGGCCGTATCCAGCGTGCTGCCAGCTCAGCAGTGGAGCACAGCACGGGCTCACGCTGCCCATTGCTCCCAGAGATGCAGCCAGCACCACCAGACAAGCTAACAATATCTGGAGAAGCATGAAAAGAGTTTTCTGCTGAGGAACACAGTGTTTGATTAAGTTAATGGCCATTGTGGCTGGTGGAGCACTTTTCCTGATGATGTGCTATGCTGGAATCTGGTATTGCTGGAAGAGAAAAGGGTGAGTGTTTTGCTGATCTCAGCCTCAAACAGCTTCTTGAAAGGCTGCTCATAGTCAGGAAACATTCCCAGTGAGGCTGCTGTGCACTTGTGGCTAGTCCTTGGTTGCCCAAATCACTCTGCTGAGAGTTCTGCTGCTGCCCAGGCCTTTCTTTGGCCTCTTAATTGCTGGGCCTTGTCCTGGGGAGTCCGCTGGGGCTGCAGCCAGTGCTGGCTGCCACTGAGGCTGCCTGGCCAAGGGCAGCCCCAGGAGCAGCGGGCAGAGGCAAAGCAAGGTGGGCAGGAGAAAGAGCAGAGACGAGATTGCCCTTGAATGGCAGAGGCGTTCTGGGGCCTGCTCCTGGCCAGGGACCCTGCCCAGAGCCATCCCCTGCTCACTGGGGACATGAAGGTGTCAGGAAAATTAATCCACAAACACCAGAGGTTGATGTCCAAAAAGGAGACAGAGGACTCATTTACTTTATTTAAATAAAGGGAGAGGCCATGGGCCATTCCCCTGGGGTCTCTCAAGTTTTTTGGAGGACGCAGCCTCCTTTTTATCCTAATTTCCCGGCCGCATGTCCCTCTCTCTTTCCCCACTGGCTGAGGTACTTGAGAGGTAAAGATTTCCCAGAGTGCCTGATACCTAACATTCCCCTCTAATGTATAACCCTCCCTCTTAATTTTTAATTCTCAGAAATTTATGGTATTTCCCCATTGTTTCTTTCGTATTTCCATATCCAGTTTCATTTATCAGCAAACCTACCTTGTTTGTAAAGGCAAATATCTTTTTTCCATTCATCAATTACTGGAATCTTTCCCATTGTTTCTTTTATATCTCAGTGCTAGTTTTATCTACCAGCAGACCCACAGCTTGTTTGTAAACACAAATCTCTCATTCCTATCAATCTTTTTTAAATTTTTTTAATAACTGTCTTTACAAACATTAGTTTTCATTGACTCATTGACTTAATTTCCTGTTTCTGTTTTTTTTTTTTCTTGGTTTTGCAATTTTTTTTTTTTCTTGGTTTTGCAATTATTTGCAATGACATCAGTTTCTGCCCTTTTGTAGCTATTCCTGCAGTAGTAGGGATGGCTACTACCGGCATCCTTTTCATCACATGTTGAGTAAGTTGCACTAAGCAGGGGATCATGCATGCTAAAAAAATTAGGGTTGCTACAGCACAAGAAAAAGCATTTGTTAAACCCATAATTTACTAGGTAACCATGAAAACATGCCTTATTCTCATCCTTTCCATGTTTGGCCTGGTACATGAGTTAACCTTCTTACTGCTTTTTTAATTTGTTTCACCACCCTTCATCTATCATTTAATTTGCCACACACTCTCCCTTCTTCTGCTGATAGTATTTGTATTTCTAAGCTGTCACATGAGGTTTCTACCTGCAGTTACGTTTTAGATCTGTTCTGTTAGATCTGGAGCAGAACCTTTTACGAAGGGTTTGAGTTTCGTGTTGGTGTTGCTACTTCCACTGATAGTCATCTAAAACGTGTGTCCTGCTTGTGAAATTGTTTTGGGGGCAGCTTAAAAATAAGGGGTCCAAAAAGCCTTCTCTTTCCCCACTGTTTCATAGCCTTCAAAATCTTTTTGGTAATGATGGAAGGAACACCTTGCTTAGCTACTATTAGTGAACTGAACACGCGTTTGATTCTATTTGCCGTGATATCTGAAACAATTATAAGGGGGTCTAACAATCTAAACCTAAAGTCTAGTCACAAACACTTTCTCCCACATATTTACTTCTTGTTCTATTTAGACAATAAATGCTTTTTTCAGAAGAATGAAGCTGCCATGGACTTCCGTCTTCATCTCAAAATCTTGCTTATTACGGACCTAACTCACTGTTTAGCTTTGACTGGGCTGGCCACTTATGGCCAGTTTTCAGATCTTTCTGGCCTTCCACAGACTTAATATTTAAGGCTAAAGGTTTTTGCTACTTCTTCTCTTAAGGTTAAAAATTACTTTTTCACTTTTGGCTTCAATATCAACTGGCTGACAATATAAAGCTAAGATTATTAAGGCAAACATTTTAATGGTGAAATTTAATTTCCTAACTTAATTTTTACTTTCACGTTGTCTTCTGCACTACCTGTGGTGAGTGAAGGCACAGAAAGATCCTAACATTAAGAAAACAATGACAGCAAGGATTGGCTGGAGATTTGGGAGAAGTGATGCCCACACAAACTATTTCAGCAGCCAGTTGGTGGGAGGCACACGGGGCTTCCCCTGATGTTGATGGCCTGGCTACTGCTCTAGTCCACTTTTGTGGAGCATCAGTGGCGGCCTCCTGTGCTTCTCCTCTAGCTGAGGTGTCTGAATTTCTGGGGCCTAAGAGACCTTGACTCGAGTGTGGTGGGTCTGCCCGTGTTCAGCTCTCCTGACGGCTGTTTCTGTCCTCAGCAACACTTGCACAGGTCTGCGCTGCTTTGCTGCTGCTGGTGCTTCTTTCTACTCCTTCACTAGGATTCAATCTCCTGGCTGGATGTTGTGAACAGCAAAGTCTAAAGGCAGGGTCTGTGCCAGCTGAGCTTCTTGTCAAAGAGATTTCACAAGAGATAGTATCCGGGCTACAAACAGTTTCCAATATATATCACTTATCTCCACCTGCCCACAAGGCTGAGAATTACAAGGATAAGGAATTCTAAACATCAATTCAAAGGGGGATAATTGAGTATCCTCCCTGGGTCTGGCCCTTGTTTTTGCTAAAGCCAGTGGCAAGAGCTGGACTGACGGCATCTTAGTTTTTATTACTAGCTTCAGAAGGTGTTTCTTTATTTCTCCATTTATCCTTTCAATCTGGCCTGAACTCTGGGGGTGCCAGGGGGTGTGGAGGTTCCATTGGACCCTTAAAGCTGTCATAACTCCTTTGAGAATGTTTTCTGTAAAATAAGTTCCCCTGTCTGAGTCTATTGCTTCCATAATCCCATATCTTGGAATTATTAGTTCCAAAAATACTTTAATATCTGACTCTGCAGTTGCTGAAAGGGATGGAAATGCTTCTGGCCACCCTGTCAACTGATATACTATTGTTAGCATTCAGGAACACACCTAATCATGGATTGATTATATGAAGGTGCTTTATTAAGAGCTCTGGGGGTCAGGAGTACACATATCCAAATCTGACTCAACTTGGTTTTGAGCTGAACATGTTTTTATACTCTATTGTTATATAACTTACGTATTAATTATTAAACTTACATTGTTCTATTGTATGTACTGTTTTTACCCAAGCATGGATTTCTCATGTTTTTACCCAAGCATGGATTTCTCATGATCCCCTCTCAAGCCCCTAACATTGTTTCTCATGTTCTCTAACAATAATTCTATCTAATCACATCTAACAATTGTATCATTTATCATATACTGGTTACACAGGTGCAGTTTCACATGATCTTTAGCAAGCACAAGGCCTAACATTTCCCAGGGCCTACTTTTCCCAGGGTTTGCCAAGCCTAACTTTCTTTCTATATCCCTGAATTGCTATGATTTTAAAATCTTTTACTATCACTATCAGCAGAGAAATTTAAATCTTGCCACTTGAGGCATTTCACTAAAATCTACCTGGCATCTCTGCAAGGGACATACAGCCCAAGGCCTCCCTCCCCTGGCAAGTTTCTTTGTAACTCTGTTATTGGTTCTAGCACAAATCAAACAACCCTCAATAGCCCGCTTTGCCAGAGTGAAAAAAGACCCAGAGCAGCATATATTTTTAGGAAGGTTCTTCCCAGTCCCTGGGAGCCTCAATGACTTCTTTCATCAAGTTGTTTTAGCAACTGTAAGGACAGAGCTTTACGTATCCACTGTTTACCATCTCTTGTAAACCATTTCCCCCACTTTTAAATTCTGCATCCTCTTGCTCCATTAAGCAAAATTCATACTGTAATAACCTAGCACTGGTCATCCACTCAGAGGTTCTCTCAGTTAACAAAGCTTTAATCTGACGTGAAAATTCAACAATCAGATACCTTCCCCTTGTCAGCTTTCGGGCCTCAGCCACCATCAGAGCTGTGGCTGCACAGTTCTGCAGACAATGGGGCCAGCCTCTGGCCACTGGCTCTAACATTTTAGAAAAACAGGCAGCAGGCCTCCGTGTTCCCCCAAGCTCTTGCACCAAAATTCCTTTAGCATGACCCTGTTGAACATCCACATAGAGTTTAAATTCCTTTTCTGAGACTGGAAGAGCTAAGACTAGGGCATTAACCATTTTCTCTTTTAATTTTTTAAAGCTTTGCTTTCCTTCTGGTGTCTGTACCATGACATTAGGATTGTCTTGGCTTAAAAAGTCATATAAAGGTCTGGCCACCACAAAAAAATCTTCAATCCATACTCTGCAGTACTTTACCAATCCTAAAAAGTGCCGTAACTCTTTTTTATCTGGGGTAATGGTACTTATAAAATCCCCTGTATTCATTCTGAATAAATTAATTTTATAAATTAATAATAATTTTATAAATTAATAATATAAATGTATTATTTCTGAATCAATACACCATAACTCTCCAGTTAGAATGTGAGCTCAAGATTTGACCTTTTTCTTTTTATTTTTCTATGAACTGGCCTTCTTTTCAGACACTCTAAGTTGTTTTTTAGCAAGAAAATTAAGTAGCTTTACAGTAGCCTCTTCAACCACCTTCTCCTGTTCCCCTGACAAAGCAAATCATCCACATCCTGCAACAACCTAACTCCTGAGGCTGGAGTAAACTCTCCCAATATTTTCTGCAAATCTTGCCCAAACAAAACCAGGGACTCTGTATATCCCTGTGGGAGGACTGTCCATGCCAACTGTTGTTGTACCATTTTCCCTCCTTTTGCTCCAGTCATTTTCCCTTCAAACACGATCCAGTTCAGTGGCAAGCAATGCCACTGCCTAAAGCCAATCACATTTTTTTTTCTAGTAACCAATTACTCCCTGTCCCAGTTTTTCACATCAAGTCCATCTTAGGTGTAGGGAGGTGACGAACAAATTAACCAAGGAAAGATAATCAAATACTTTCCCCTAAAGTTTTCCTGTAGCCTACAAAGAGAAAGCTGCATGAGAAATACCTAGGCCTGCACAGGGACAACACCAGCCCCACAAGGCAGCAGCAGCTGCAGAATCAGCCTCAGGATTAGAACCTGCCAGTTCCAGCTCTCCACAACAGACCACAGACTGCTGGGGGGTTCCCCACAAGGTAGGAGCTGCAGAATTGGCTTCAGGACTGAAACCATCAAATTCTGGCTTCTTACAACAAAACACACAAAAAGCAGAGGGGCGTGGTCAGACACAAACTTTGAAGAATTTAAGATTTTAAAGAAGCTGAGGCCTTATTGAAAAAGAAGCCTTGCTAAATCTAATTAAAATAAATAGATGGGCTTTGCTAAAATTAAAGGTAGAGAGAGAGGCTCTGCTTAAATTAGAGCTTAATCATTGGCTAATAAGTAATTTTTTGTGAGCTTTATGCTTGTTCACCTGGGCTTCTAATGAGAAACAGTATCTGGTAAAGAACTTCAAGAGCAGAAGACAGTTGCACATCAGAAACTCATTGAAGATACGAATCTAGGAGCCCAGCCAAGGGTCCATTCGTCACTTTGCATTGAAAAGGTTGAAAGGTCAGAAGAAGGAAGAGCCATATCCCTTCTTCCCTTCTGTGACCCCTCCCCATAAAAAGACCAGTGACCCATTTCAAAGATCAAATTATGCATGCTTAATTGCTTTTTTCCTAAGTGGCATAGGAAG